AAGGAAATTTGAAGGCCAATTTAGCTGTCCTGGAGGACCAGGAGAGGTAATGCTGGACCCTACAGGTTCTTTGCAGCCAAGAAGCCACTGACTCACACAGACCATCATATCCAATATATGCCCTGAGAGCGCTGCCCTCTATAGCTGCTAAATGAGCCTCTGGGGGCAAGCCTGCCAGATCACACAGCATCCACAGTCCGTAAGCAGTCCGTCTCAGGAACCTGCCCCCCAGCAAGGCACCCAGACTAATAATCAGTCACCACGGCTTGGAAATTCTCACATATTTATTCCGGGCACTCTGCAATTTGTTCTGTATGATTTCCAACTACAGGGAATGACTACAAAGAGACTCAGTGCCCTTCAGCAGGCACAGGCGGATGCCAGCCAGGTCTAGCCTTTTGAGAGAAGGCATTAGGAGGGAAGGTGCACACATATTAGGAAGCATGAAAATGAGACTCCAGTATGCTCATCAGAGCTGTGCAGCCCCCAAGGCTCCAAAGTGTCCTGGAGGAGACCCGAGTGTGCAGGAGCTGTATGAAAAGGTGCCTGGACTCCACAGTGAGAGAAAGGAAATTGTAAGGAGCAGCAAAATGTCACATGTTGCCCTTAATTTGAACAGAAGGTTAAAAACAGAAAATATCTGGTTTTGAAAATGACACTATGAAAAGGATCTTATACACTCTTATTGGGGACACGTTATACACGTGTGCACTCATCTGTATAGGTATATGTGAAGGCCACAGTTAGATGCGGGGTATATTCTATTGATCTCCACCTCACTTTTTAGGACAGGGTCCCTCACTGAACTCAGAGTTCACTGATTTGTCTAGGCTGACTGGGCAGTGAACCCCTGAGACCCATATGTCTCTGCCTGCCCCCCCACACACACAGTGTTTTGGTTACAAACACACACTGCCACGCCCAACTTTCGTATGGGTTCTGGGGATCCAAACTCAGACCCCTATGTTTGTGCAGCAAACATGCTACCAATGGAGCCTCATCCCAATCCCTGTGCCATGACTTTTGACCTGATTCAGACCTGAGAAGTTATCACACACAGAAGGCCTGACCTAAAATTTGTGAAGTCTCATTTATTTCTGTGCATTTGTGGTTTTGCCTGCATGTATATCTGTATGAGGGTGTCGGTCCCCTGGAACTAGAGTTACAGACGGTTGTGAGCTGCCATGTGGGTGCTGGGAATTGAACCCAGGTCCTCTGGAAGAACAGCCAGTGCTCTTGACTGCTGAGCCATCCCTCCAGCCCTGCAAAGTCTCATTTCTAAGCTACATGTATTGGGACTTCCTGGCACACCAAGGAGGAAGGAATTCTTTCTCTGTGGGCATGAGACACATTTAAAGAAATGTGGCTTAGGCCATGTGTGGTGGGTGGCACATGCCTTTAATCCCAGCACTTGGGAGGCAGGTGGATTCTCTGCGAGTTCAAGGCCAGTGTGATCCAGAAAGTAAGATCCAGTCTCAAGAAGGAAAAAGAAGAGAGTCATGTGACTCTTAGACTCCCATTACTCAATGCTGGATTAAAGCCAACCTTCATCCATGAGGGATTTACAGTTCAGTACAGAACAAATGTGATAATATAAAAGCAACTTAGGTTACCACAAGAAACCCTGCCGCAGAGGAACGCTGAGAGCCTGTCCATCTACAGTACCCAGCAGCTCATTCACAGCAGCTCAGCTAAGGCCCCCAGGCACACAGAGGGGAAATATTGTTATCCTCATTGACAAACATACAAATTGATCTAAAGAGCTGGGGGGGGGGGATGGAGCACACCTGTAATCTTAGCACTCAGAGGGCAGAGGACAAAGCAGGAATCTGTTCTCTCCATCCACCGTGCAGGTCTTGGGGACTGAACGCAGGCTGTCAGGCTCGGTGGCAAGCACCTTACCCACTGAGCCATCTTGCCAGCCCACTGCTGGGGCTCTTGTAGCTCTGTTGTTTGTGTTTCTGACACAGTCCTACCTGCAGCACAGTCTGACCTAGAATTCACTGTGTAGCCCACGAGGGCCGTCACTTGTGTGTGATCTATCTGCCTCTGTCCTCTGATCTCCGCATGTGCAGCATGGTGCACACAGGCATGCACACATATAAATGCAATGTGGGGCTGAGGAGATGGCTCAGCAGTTAAGAGCATGCACCGCTCTTGCAGAGGACCCCAGTTCACTTCCCAGCACCCATTTTGAGTGACTCATAATGAGCTATAACTGAAGCTCCAAGGGGTCTGTCACCCTCTTTTGGATGCTTCGGGTGTTGTGGTCCTGTCACAAGACCCAAACCCCACCCTGAGCAAGACTGCCACAGAGCCGATATCCAATGCAAAACACACAGGGGTTTATTAATAACAAGAAAGCCCGGCTTGGTCTGTGTCCAACACCGACACAACAGGTGGAGGAGGACGGCCCTGACTGAACTCTCAGAATGAGGAGGGGTTTTTGAAGGGAAAAACTGCAAGCAGGGTGGTACAAGCCTTTGCATTAGAGGATTGGGTAAGGGTGTGTAACCTTTGAATTTACTGGTTAGGGATTACAGTTATCATTTTGGGGCAGGCTGGATAAGTCTCGGGCTTCGTCCTTGAGCTGCCATGGAGGCTGCCTGGACTAGCACATACTGACTGTGGGGGCTGACTCAGTGGCCCAGGCTCTGTCCTTGACTCATGCACATAGCTCTAAGTTGGTGAGAGGTCCCAGACAGTGAACAACTGGCTGAACCTTGAGCAGTCAGAGTACGTGCAGAAAGGGAACTACTGCAAGGACTATGTCTTTTGTTCAAGGCCCTCCCAGAAAATGCTTGCTCAAGTCTCAGGAAATTGAGGCCTGAACTCTAAGAGAAGACTGACAGCCTATTATGGCATCTGCTTGGTCCTTCCAGGGTACCTGTATTCACAGGTCTACATACCCACACACAGTTATACACATACACATTATTTAAATTAGAATAAATATATTTTTTACTTAAAGAACTACAGAGGCCATCTTTCTGACTACTGGTTTTTCCAAGGAAAGCACATGGCTGCTGGTCCAATTGGGGTTCTCTCAGATTTCATCAATGGCAGGAAGATCTGTCTTACCCTTTGCATCCCAAGATGAGAAGGTGGTAGCCTGGCTTGATGCATGACCCTTGCTTCAGTGAGGCCAAAACACTAAAGGGAACTGCTGCCTAGTTTGTGTCAGCTTGACACAATCCAGAGTTATGGGAGAAGAGGGAACCTCAATGGAGACAACGTCTCCATCATCAGGTAAATCTGTGGGACATTTTCTTGGTTAATGATTGATGTAGGAGGACCCAGCCCACTGTGGGCAGTGGCTCCCTGGGCAGATGGTCCTGGGTGTATGAGAAAGCAGGATGAGCAGCCATGATGAGCGAGGCAGTAAGCAGCGCTCTTCCGTGGCCTCTGTACCAGCTCCTGTCCCAGGTCTCTGTTTGAGCTTCTGCTCGGTTTCCCTCAACGATGAACTTCTTTTCCAAGTTGTTTTTGATCATGGTGTTTACCACAGCCATGAAAACTGAGCAAAAGACAGATTTTGTTTTTACGACAGCAACTGAGACAAAAGACAGATTTTGTTTTTTTCAAGACACGGTTTCTCTGTGTAGCCTTCGCTGTCCTGGAACTCACTCTGTAGACCAGGCTGGCTTTGAACTCACAGAGATCCACCTGCCTCCGCCTCCCGAGTGCTGGGATTAAAGGCGTGTGCCACCACTGCCCGGCTAAAAGACAGATTCCTGACACTACTGTTTGAGTCCCTGGGCTGCCACCAACCTTCCCAATCCTGTAAGTTAACAAACCCCACTTGCTGTTGGTTTATTTGGGGTTTCATCACTTTATAGGGAATTCCAAACATAAACAAATGCAAATGCAGCAGGCGACAAGAACTTGTCTCTGTCACAGGCCATCTCATCTACTGCCTAGAGGAGAAGACAGGGCGTTCCAAATGGCTGAACCCAGGTCGGCCTTAGCCAAAGGCCGCCCGTTGCTCCTCCGCTGTGCTGTGGATTCTCTCCCCTGGGAAGAATGGTCATTTCTGGCAGTTCTTTGAGGTCTAGTCACTCTTTTTGGTTTCCTAATTGGGAATATCATATCGACTTGGTGAAAATGGCAACTGAGTTTTGCATCAGTGAAATTCTTACAATCTATAGGACATCAGCCCACTCCATTCCGCCACTTTTAGGCTGTGTGATCTTGGGTTTGCACCTCACTTGTAAAGTGGTGATGGGTTATTATGGCATGCCCCAGTGAGCCCAGCAACCCCAGAGTTCAAGTGGAAGGATGGTCTGAGCTCCGAGAGTTCATAGGTCAACATCAGGAGACTCTATGTCTGAAAGAGGGGATAGATGCAATAAAATGTTTTAACAATGATACATGACTGTGCTGTCAGACTTCACGACCGGAGAAAGTGGAAAACAGATGTAGGAGGTACTGACTACATCAATTAATAGTATGAAGCATTTACCTAGCACTGCCCCATGTTAGATCCTGGGAAACCAAGGCTCAGAGGGGTAAAGACAATTGAAAATGCAGCGTGACAGAGTTGAGGTCGGGTGGATTAGAACGAGGTTTCCCAACTCCCTGGTCCTTACAGCCCACAGCTATGTAGAGCCTCAAAGGCCAGGACAAGCCCCGAGGGGTGAGTGGAGCCGTGTGCAATGGCTGTGGTGTGGCCACCCCACTGTTTCACTCACTTGATTGTGCACTCCCGACGGACAGAGGTAATTTGTCCCTTTCTCTAACTCAGACGCCACAGTTAGTGCTCAGTGGTGACTGAGCCATCAACAAGTCCCAGTGTAAGTGCACGAAGACCTCTTCCAGGTGTGGATTTGATGTCACAGATGAGGAGGGTATGATTAACCAGTAAGCAAGAGAACATTTATGTCACCCACATCCCCATCAGGTGAGTGAAGGAGCCACCCCCATGATTCCCACAGCACTTGGTGTGGTCCCCAAGTCCTACCCCTCCCCACTATTCTGCTCACTTCGGGGGTAATACTTACCCCATTGACGTGTGGCCTGGGAACAGAGAGGTGGCCTTGTTTTCAGAAGGTGGTCCAGCATGGCAGGGGAGAGGCTACACTCTGAGAACTACCTGCCTGGATTCGAAGCCCAGCTTGGCTGTTGCCTAGCTCTGTGGAGAACAGCTAGGTTCTCAGCCAGCTTTCTGTTGTGCTGTGTTTGCTGTGGCAAAATGCTTGAGACCGTCAACTTAAAAAGAAGGAACCAGGTACAGCACTCAGGAGGCAGGGGCAGGTGGATCTCTGCATAGCAAGGTCCTGGCCAGACTAGCGAAGGATACATAGGGAGACACTATCAAAAAAAAAAAAAAGACAGACAGACTGAGGCTGTGAGTGTAACTCAAATGCACAGCATCAGGTGCTGGTGTGTGTCTTCAGCATTACGAGAGAGAGAGAGAGAGAGAGAGAGAGAGAGAGAGAGAGAGAGAGAGAGAGAGCGCGAGATGACGTGTGTCATTTTTGTCCATGGTTGCCGACGTCTCAGCCCATGTTGTTTGGCCCCATCACCTTCAGCCTTGTGACAAGGCGACACATCACAGTGGGGAAGGCAGGACAGAGGGGGCTGCTTGCTCCTTGCCAGTCAAGAAGCAGAGAGAAGGGGCAGGGAGGGGCACAGGGCCTGCTATCCTCTTCAATGGTATGCCTCAGTGACCTCACTTCCTCCCATCTGGCTCTTCCTCTTAAATGTTCTGCCACCTCCCAGGGGCACCTGGGGACATTCCCAAACTGTAACAACAGATTATCTATAGAAATGGGGAATTAGGCTGGGGGGTGGCGGCTGCAGGGCACACCTTTAATCCCAGCACTCTGGAGGCAGGGGCAGGTGGATCTCTGAGTTTGAGGCCAGCCTGGGGGGGGGGGGCAAGGATTAGAGCTGGGAAGCCCCTCAATGTTAGAGTGGTTGCCTGGCATGAATGATACCTCAGTTCCACCTCCCTCCTCCTCCCCTTCCCCCCAATACCAAAATGAGAGCGTGATGATAACTATGCCTTAGTCAGCCGAGGCTGCCGTAACAAAACAAAACCTTCTGTTGGATGGTTTCAACAGAAGACAATTACTTCTCGCAGTTGTGGAGGCCGGAAGCTCAGAAGCAAGTGCCAAATGGCTCTGCTACAGGTAAAGGCTTTCTTGGTGACTTGCGGGTGGGTGGCCGGTGTATTCACGGTGTGTCCTTATGGGTGGGGAGTGGGAAGAAGACACTAATCCCACCACAGGGCCCCACCCTCGTGACCTCCTGCTGTGTGACATTCTTCCAGGGGAAACATGAGCAAGTATCAGCTCATCCCAGAGTGAGAATCAACGACAAACCTAGTCAAAGCTGTATTGTAACAATACAATCCTAGTCAAAGCTGTGAGCCAATGCATTCACTGGGATTGCCTACAGCGTGTGAGGAAGGGCTTCCTTAGAAGAGCATGGATGACTCAGAGACAAGGGCGTCGCCTAAGCCCACACCTATATATACATATATGGGTGACAGTTGCTAAAAGTTAGAGCCCTGGAACTCTCTGCTCAACTTGCGGGCAGCTCCACAGGTTGGCGGGCCTTCTCTCCTCAGCAGCGGGCCTGGTTAGTTTCCTGCCAACTGGACACAAACTAGAGTGTCTTGTCAGTCACCTGACAAGAAGGAACCTCAATTCAGAAAACACCTCCATAAGACTGGCCTGTATGCAAGTCTTTGGGGCATTTTCTGAATTAGTGATTGATGTAGAAAGACCCAGCCTACTGTGGGGGATGCCACCCCTGGGCTGGTGGTCCTCCTAGTGCGTAAGAAAGCAGGCTGGGCAACCCCTGGGAAGCAAGCGAAGAAGCAGCACTCCTCCATAGTCTTTGCTTCCGTTTCTGCCTTACCTTCCCTGGATGATGGACTATAAACTGAAAGGTTAAATGAACCCTTTCCTGCCCAAGCTGCTTTTGATCCTGATGGTTTACCACAGCAGTAGAAACTCTGGCAGAACTTGATAACAGGTCATGGGGTGTTGCTGTGACAGACCTGTGTGTCTTGAGAGGATTGCGGTAGCACTTTTGAACTTTGGACTGGAAAAGCGCAGAGCTTTTGCTCAGATCACAACTCTTAGCATTTATATAAGCTTAGAGGGGGTGGGACCTTGTGAATCTGTTAAGTTTCAGGGACTTCCTGAATCCAGAGAGGTTTTTGTTTTTTGTTTTTTGTTTTGGTTTGGTTTGGTTTTTTTACAGCATCAGTCTTTACACCTTCCCTTTAGAACTTTGGATCTTAAAGAGTTTACCTTCATGTTACATGAAATGTTCCAGGTCAGAAGAAATTGCTATAGAACACCTCCCAAATGCAAGCCTCAACAGGAATGTGAGGGTAGGGTTACAGATATTCAGTCTATAATAATCACTTCCCTCATGAAAATTTTAAGAGGCTTAAGCTGAATTTTTTTAAAGATTTATTTATTTATTTTCATTTTATGTATGTGAGCATTTTACTTTCATGTATGTACATGAATTGCATGCATGCCTGGTGCCCATGAAGACCAGAGGAATTGTTAGGTTCCCTGGAACTGGAGTTATAAATGGTTTTAAGCTGCCATTTGGGTGGTAGGAATTGAACTCAGGTCCTCAGCAAGAGTATCAATAGCTCTTAACCACCAAGCATCCCCACCCCCATCCCTGAACCACAGAGCATCTCCCCAGCCTTGAGCCACAGAACATCCCCCTCAGCCCTTAAGCTAGTGTTAAGTCCTTGTCAGTATACCTGGCATGTACATAACCCTTTGTAGACATTTCCCGTTCCAGCAGGACCAGCATTTATTGGATTAATTAATGAAAGTATGAGTCAGTTAATGATGTAGAAGGAATGGTTGGGTATATGAACCAACCCACAAGGAGATGAGAAGTGAAGGAATGAGTGAGCACATAATAAATGTAAGAATCAGTAGATAAATGATTGAGAAGTAGGAAAAAGGAGAGCCTCCCTTCTGAGAGTTTCCCTAGAATCCCTGCTCCGGTCTCAGAAATTCTTTTCCTGTAGGAATAGGGTGCCCTCTGAGGTCACCTCAGTGACAGTGTCTCCAGGGACCTCTGCACCACACCAACTACCCATGAGCCACTGCCTCCTGTGAACCCTGACCCAGACTGAAGCCACCCAACGTGTCACAGGACATCACCCCATGATGACAACCAAGAACATTGCCCCAGCCTCAAAGCCAGTGACCTACGTTCTGCTCCAGACATCTTCAGAAGGCCCCAAAGCCACCAACAAATCCTCCAAGACCAACAAGTCCAGGGGGTCCTTCCTCAAGACACCGGACTCGGTCAGAAAACTGTCCAAGCAGCTCCCAGGGAACTGTGAGAACTTCTTTCCTGAGGCTAAAAACGTCTACTGCCTAGACATATGTCCCTTTGTAGCAGGGAAGATTCTGGACCCAGAGCCACAGCCACACATCCCTATCCCTGCGGCCACAGAAACCTATATCCCTGAAAATGCCACAGCTAGGCTTCAACTGATGGATCAGGCATATGGGTTCAGAAAGAACATCAACCCAGTCTTGTACCCTCCTAGGAATGCACCCACTGTATCAGCCATGAATACACCCTCTGCAGATGCCATGAAGGTATCCTCTATATCAGTCATGAAGGCAGCATCCTCTGCAGATGCCGTGAAGGTACCCTCTGCATCAGTCATGAAGACACCCTCTGCAGATGTCATGAAGGTACCCTCTATAGTAATTATGAAGCCACCCTCTACAGATGTCATTAAATATGTATCCTCTACAGAAATTGTAAAGGCACCCCATTTAGTGGCCTCAAAACAACTCTTTACATGGGTGACAAAGCCAAGGACCAAGAACCAACCTAAGAATCAAAAGAAGCAAGACAAGGAAAAACACTTACTCTCTCTTGACCTGGTGCTTGTCAACCGAAACCGCTTAACTCCAGCTATCCAACATTTACCTATTCCAGAGGCCACAAAGGTCATAATCAGGAACCCATGTAATTTATTGAACTACCATCCAATAAACATCTGACTGCAGTTTCTGTCCCCTACATTGAGGCCAGTGCTCCCAAGCTGCATGGGTTGTGCACTGTGCAAGGTCAGCCCGCATCTATCTACAGGAGTGTTGCCATGGATCTGTGTCTTTGCTTTGACAGATCCAGCAGATGGCAGTAATGTGTCTTGGAGAACCAGAGGCTTCTAAAGATTAAAGAAAAACATCAAAAGAGCTAGTGATGTCCTGGAGCTGCAGCTCAGTTTGCAGAATAATTGTCTAATATGCATGAAGCCCTGAGTTCAAGACCCAGAAACCACATAAACTGCGAGATGACATGTGTCTGTATTCACAGCATTTGAGAGGCAAAAGGAGAAGAATCAAAAGTTCAAGATAATCCTTGGCTACATAAGAGTTTCTGAGGTCAACCATGGTTCAAGGTGTGGTGATATATTGTGTACCCTAATAAACTTGCCTGGGGATCAGGGGATAGAGCCAGCCACTAGATTAAACTCAAGGTTTGCCCTGCAGACCTGGTGACCTGAGTTCAATCCCTGAATCTTACAAAAAGGTAAAAGGGCAGTTGTCTTTGACACATTAGCACACATACGCCTCCACACACTGAGATCCAAGCTCTGAAACCAGGAACAGAGAAGAGCCACAGGAGGCTGGGAGGTTGACAAGAATGCAAAGCATGATAGACAGATAAGACTATCTTATCTATAAACCTTATTTACCAGCACATGGGCTACTAGGGAGGTACGCACCAGCACACAGCAGACCGACCTATAGGCCACATGGAGGTAGGTACACAGGTCTCCAGACAGGCAGACTGGCAAAGGAATATGACAGCTCTCCCCTCTAACCTAAAGGCCCTATTTATACAGACTCACACAAAAGTGGCATGCTGTCAGAAATAGTTAAATAAATAAAAGATTATATCAGTTTTCCCAGACATCAAAGGTCTGCCTTTTTTTTTTTTTTCCCAACTTGGTCCATGCGGCATATCCATATCAGTATCATGTTGTCTAAACATAGACTGGCTTCTACAGCCCTCTATTCCCTACACATACACACCATACACATACAAAGACAGTAAATAAAGGCTAGTGGTGGCACTGGCAGATGCTTTCCCTGAGTAGGAATACGATGCTCCAAGAAAGGTTGCATCCCTACTCTGCCAGCACAACTGGCTACCCATCCTAGACAAGGGGCTAAGTTCTGAGACTCCACTTGTTCATGCGGAAAATGGGGTAATAGATACCTCATGGCGTGATTGAGAGTGTGAAGTGAGATAAGCCATTGACCCCGGTGCTTACATACAGAAGATACTTAAGGACAATTGTGGGAGGACAGCAGTGGACAGCTGTTTACCTCACAAACCAACAGAGGGATGCCTCACCCCAACCTGTTGGCTAATCTTGATGGTCAGATTGGGAAGCAATTCATAAAGTGTGCTTTTACCTGTGTCTGCAAGGGCTCTTCTAAAAAAGACTAAGGAAGAGGAAGATCCATCTAGAATGGGCAGCACCATCCTGTAGGCTGGGGGTTTGGGTGAAATAAGAAGAAGAAGGCAGGAGCATGCCGTCACGGGCATTCTCTCTGTGTCTCTGTCCTTCTGACTCTCTATCTTTCTGTCTCTGTCTTTCTGTCTTTCTGTCTCCTGCTTTGCCGTCATGATGGGAACTCTTCTGCCCTACCACTTCTTCCCACCATGAAGACTGAACCTATGAAATAATAAATCCTTCTATTGCCATCTAGGGGTCTGGACTGATGTTTCTTTTCCCTGCAGCTACAAAACTGAAAGTAAGCCAGGTGTGGTGGCACACACCTTTAATCCCAGCACTCGGGAGGCAGAAGCAGCAGATCTCTGAGTTTGAGGCCACTCTGGTCTACAGAGTGAGTTCCAGGACAGCCAGGGAAACTCCGTCTCAAAAAAAAAATTGAAAGTAACCCCTCATTCATGCTCAAGAAAGCCCAGCAAACTCATCAGATCCTTACAGTGGGCTCTGGTAGAGTTATACTTTGGTTTGTTGTTGGGACGTTGAGAGGAGAAGACATTGTTTAATGTCTCCAGGGAAGGGATTCTCATAACTGTGCTGAACATTCTTATCAACTCTTGTTTCTATGCACCTAGCAACCAAGCCAGTTTTTCTGCAGGAAGAATTATGGTTCATACAGAACCAAGGATGGAATTTGGAGTCCAGTCCACTTGGCTTCCAAGTGTGTATTCCGCCGAAGTGTTACCCTCTTCTGAGTACAGGAGAAAAGAAAGAAGAACATCCCAGAACCTGCCAGAGAAAGCTGTCACCCATATGTCCTGCGTCTCCCTCCACAGTAGTACTTCTCAGCCAGAGGCCACTTGGACTTCAAAGGGACATTGGCTGATGCCTGCAGGTTTGGGGTATCACAGCTTAGAGAGGGAATGCTTAGCCCACACACTCTCATGAATAACTTGGGCAAAAACATTGAGTGCTGAGGTGAGAGTCTGGGATCTTCAGCAATGGGCTTCCAGTTTCTCAGCTGGACATGCACCTGCTGGAAATAAGAACCAACTGTGGCTCTAGGTGGCCACATAACTAAGTTCTGGCCAAAAGAACTTGGCCAACTTCCTTTTTCTATTTTTAATTTTATAAATTTTATTATTTAAAAAAAATCTTACAAAAAAGTAAAAACATCTTACACCAAAAATAGCCAGACTCACAATCTATCCTTTTTTGACAATTATTTTATTTATGTGTGTGTGTGTGTGTGTGTGTGCATGCGCGTGCGTGCGTTTGGTGTTTACATATATGTGAGTATGTGTACACATGTATGTCTACCCTCAGAAGCTAGAAGAGGGTATCAGATCTCTTGGAGCTCGAGTTAACAGATGTTTGTGAGCTGACCGATATGGGAGCTGGGATCCAAATATGACCAGTCATGATTGAGCAGCAAGTGCTTTTAACAAAGGAGCCCTTTAGACTTGGACAGCACTCCCTTAAAAGATGTAAGCCTCCCCTTGAAACCTGCCTGCGAGAGTCAGCATCCTGACTCAGCAGAACAGCCTGGAGAGAGCCTGACCTTCTGATGACGTCACAAGTGGAGCTGACAGGCCAGCAGCTTTCACGAAGGAGAGAAACAAACTTTCATCTTGTTAATATTAAGTATTATAATCATTATTTATTGTGTGTGTTCATGCATGTGTTTGGGTGCATGTACATTTGTAAATGCCAAAAGTTGATGACATCCAGTGTCTCTATCATTCACTTGTTTTTTTTTCTTCAAATTAATTAAATCTTTATTGGTTTTAGAGGGAGGAGTGTGTGCTGTATGTGTGGGGATGGAAGACAACTTTAAGAGTTACTTTCCTTCCCCATGTGATTTCCTAGAATTCAGCTCGGGTTGTCGGGCTTGGTGGCAGATGCCTTTACTGTCCTGCTGGCCCCTCCATCTTACTTTTTGAGGTGGGGTTCTCCCAAGAAACCTGGGGCTCATCCATTCAGCTAAACTACCTAGCCAATGAGCTCCAGGGATCCATCTGTCTCCATTTCCCCATCAATGGAATTCCAACTGCCCACCACTGCACCCAGCTTTTACACAGGAGCCATACTCAGGTAGGTCCTCATACTTGAGCAGAAGACGCTAAGTCCATCAAGCTATCTCCTACCACAACCCCCACACACACACTGTGATTTCGAGTCTTGTATCTAATAGTCAAATCTTCATACTAACAAGATAGAGCAACACCATCCCATTTCTTCTAAGATCTTTAGAAAATATCCCCTGCCCCTCCCCAGACAGGCTTTGTTTGGGTAGCAGATTGAGGAATGGGAAAGCTTTTTCTTGCTGCCATGTCATCAGCCCAGTGACATTTGCCACTCTGGCGATTGCCCACAAGTCATTTCTCAGTATGTCAGCCCATCCAATTTCCAGACCCGACTCAGCTGCACTGGTCTCTTTACACACAAAAACCATCTCCTGAACAGAGAGCAGGTGCCCATTTATGAAATTTTCCTGAGATCCTGGATATAAGCAAAGGCTCAGCAAAACCACTAAAACTAGACCACGCTGTGGGTAGGAAGACAGTTTATTTGGGGAACCAAACTGCTGGGCTGTTTCTTAGCGGGCAGAGAACCGTGGGCAGTGGGCAAAGCCTTGTCAGTTTTATGAGGACAGTCACCAATGAAGAAGAGGTGTGAGCCAGAGCAGCCTGGGATTCAGCGGAAGGGCTTTGATCTGCTGCAGGCTGTTTGGGTTAATGAGGAACTAGATGACCTTTGTCCAAGGTAGTTAATTGACCATTGAGGGTGGATAAGGGAAGTAATGGCTTTTCCTGACAAACAGAAACCCCCTTCACTAGATTTCTGAGGAATGCTGAGTTTGGATTCTTGTTTACCTGGTGGTAACCCTGGTGGTTAACCCGGTCAGAGTCCAGCCTGAGCTGAGCCCAGGCTGTCATTTAGGACATTGTCAGCAGCATTTTGTCTGCCATTTGGGGGGCGGGGCACCCTGGAACTGACACTGGGGAGAATGAAGGTCCCGGAACCTAGCCTCGCTGAGCAGGCTGCGACTCCTCCGTCCTCCCAGCAGTGATGGGAGGCTGTGGCTGTCCACTCAGGTGTCCCCGTGCTCTCCACTGAGTCACCTGCACTTGAAGTCTGGGGGACACACAGCATATGTTTAGGACATGGCTCAGCCCTTTCATATGTGCAGTGGAGGAAGTGCTGGCTCCAGTGTTGACATGTCTGGCTTCCTAACTCGAAAACCTGGCCTTGATGAGGTGTGTGATGCTTTTTGTTTACAATGACATTTAAACTGGCGTCTGCAAAAGTGCAGGGAACCTACTGACTTGTGTCACTTATTTCAAAATCAAAGAGTGGCTAGTTCCAGGGACTGGATTAACTGTGCTGCTGGGTTCCACAAGCCTGGTGCCTCAGCATCTGCCCTTCATTAGTGCTTGCTCTGAGCACTCCAGTTTCCAGAAGAGACGATGATATGACTGACCTGAGTCACCTTGGGCAGGCTTCTGCTTTATTGGAAAGCCCATTCTCAGAGTCCTCCTCCTCCTCCCAGGAAGTGCTCCTCAGATAGAATCTAAGGTACCCACCTCCCACAATGGATTTCCAGCTCCAGGCTACAGAGCACCTGGCCCAGTCACACACTACAACTAGATAGTAATCAGTTTCAGCCTCAGGGCTCAAGCGGGGGCAATTAACTCAATCCCATGTGCACAAGAAAGCTTAAGACATGACTACATCAAAACTCCTTGTAGAGTACAGACATCTTTCATAAAGATGTGTTCTATAGATTGACAATCTCACAATAAGGGGCTGGGGGAGGATCTGGTGTGGTCTCTGCCACACAGGTGGCACAGAGGTCACCAGGCTATTAACCACATCCATTCCCAGGTTTCTGGGCAGAAAACAGGTCATATGTCTCTCCCCTTGGAGAGACAACTTCTGGTCCCCCTAACACTTACCTGTGAACACAAGGACCTCTGTGCCTCCTCCACTCCTCTGTGCCTCCTCCACTCCTCCACTGAGCTGCACCCCAGATCTCTTGTTTCACTTTTTCTTCTAAGATGAAGTCTCACTAAATTGCCCAACTTTGATTTGAACTCCCTCTGCAGCCCGGGCTGGCCTTGAATTCCCTCTGTAGCCAAAGCTGGCTTTGAACTTGTGATCTTGCTTTGGCCTCCCAAGTAACTAGGAACACAGGCCTGTACCACCAGGCCCAGCTATGAAATATTTTATAGATATCACATATAAAGCTTCCTTTGAGATCATGCCTAGGCAGTTTGAAAATACAGAATCTAGGACTCATACAGTTTTTAAAATACACTTCTATTTATTGGAGAATAAATTCATACAGACAAATAGTACATTTGGCATTTACATAGACCGTGATTAAATTTTTGACATCTGACATTTTGGCTAGATAATCATAGTTTTTAATGGTAATAAGAACACTAAATGTACTTGCCATCATGACCATTTTAAGTGTCGGTTGAAAATGTTAAACACAGCCCCAATGCTGTGCATGGGTCCCCACCACTTCTCAATCCCCCAAACCATTGCTCATGTGCTCTCCTCCATTCTCTGCCAACCACCATTTTCCTACTTTGCTGAGTTTCTGTGATGTTTTGTTTTGGGCAGGGTGGGGTTTGTTCTGTGCTGCTGGGGATCAAACCCAGGAACTTAGGCACATGAGGCAAGCACTCTCCCTGAGCTACATCCTCAGCCCCTGGATTTTTTTAAATTGTGTGACTGGGTGTGGTGTCCCATGACTTTAGTCCTAGCACTCAGGAGGCAGAGGCAGGTGGATCTCTGTGAGTTCAAGGGAAGCCTGGTCGACATAGTGAGTTCCAGGACAACCAGGACTATGTAGAGAGACCTATTCTCAAAAAAAGACATTAAAAGTCATGTGTGTGCGAATGTGTGTGTACATGTGAAGGCCATGTGGTTAACCCCAGATGTTTTTCTTCAGGCTCCCTCTGCCTTATTTATATAGTTTCTGACTCTAGTAGACCTGAAAATCAGGAGGAACAGTACTGACTTGAGTCCAATAGCTATCCTCTAATTCCACACCCACACTCACTTTGTGGCCTCAGGTACATTTTTAAAAAAATTTCCCTTTCATACATGAATGCATTTTATTTTTATCAAATCCACCCTTCCCTCCCTCCATCTCTAACTCCTTCAGCGTCCCTCCTTCGACATCCTCCTCCCAATTTCATGTCTATATATGTAGGTGTATATAACCTATAGGATCCAAAT